CGAGTGGAGAAGAGCGAGACTCATGCTCGAGTGAGCATTCCGTCTCAGTGAGAGAGCAGTCTCTGTGTGGGGTCTGCCCAGACAGATGACGTACTCATTGCTCTTCTGCATCGTGCAAGTTTCCCGGCACGAGCCACACTCGCAGCGCGACATTTGCAACAACGTCGCTAGAATTTGCTCTTTTAGGGCTTACCTGCTAGAAATAAGCTCTTTCAGAATCGCCGGATGGCGGCAGGGGAATCAGACCGGAACTGCTGCGTCGCTATAGCGGCGGCGAAGCAGGTCAGCTGTGCTGAGAGGTCCCGATTCCAGCTGCGAAGGCGTGTCAACGGCGAGCAGGCTTTCAGGATCAGCGATGAGCGTTGAGTCGTCGCTGAAGGAGAAGAAATCTGAGAATCCTGTGGCGAACACCCGCTTACATAGCCAGACGCCCCGCCCATTCTGGCGGGCTTTGGCAGGCTTGGCGGGCTTCGACGCCATAGGCTCGTGCAGTTCCGCTGCCTAACCATTGGTTCGTACGTTTTTTAATACACTGCACGAACCACTGGCTGTGCAGTTTCACTGCGTGAATGAAAAAGGCTTCAGTTCAGGAGAAGTTCTGAGACTTCAGTTCAGGCTTTTTTCCCATATGCGTCTAGCAGACGCAGTATCGAAAGGGAACTGTCTGGTTTAAAATGCTCTTAGAAATGTACTCTTTGTATTCACATTGGTTTCATACGGTTTTCGAAAACATTTAAATCATTTTCAGTAAATTTATTGACTTCAAAATGTCATGTGGTGTAATCAATTAAAAAAAAAAAGATTTTCATATGTTGGTTCCACATGATTTTTCCATAACATTTTCATGCATTGGTTTCAAAATCATTCATACCATTTTCAAGAAAAGTTCAAATTTAATGACTTTAAAAATGTCATATGGTATAACCAAACAGAATATATTTTCCTTGAATTTTGAACACATGTGAGAGTACAAATCTTAGTCATTCTGAAAAATGTACAAATATTTTTCCAATGTAAACCGCTTTTTAAATTTTTTTTTTTTTTATAAGTGTTTTAACATTTCACAAAGCAGTTTTGCTAAAAAAATTTCCCCAAGTAATAACATATGCCAACTACGCAATAATAACTTTTTTAAAAAATATATAATAACATATAGTATGTTATTTTATATATATATAAAACATAACATACTAATTAATAAAGAAAAATCAAAAGGATTTTTTTTTTACAAAAAATTACAAAAAAAAGTTGATAATATAAGTCTTTGTATTTGTGAGTTGCACATTTCATGTATTTTTAAAAAAATGAATAGATCTGGACAGATTAAAAAAAAAAATGGAAGAGAAAATGCTGACAAGGGGGGAAAAAATTGTCTTTCCATCCCTGTTGCAGTCCCTCGTGCCCACCTGCTTGAGCTTGCTCGTTCTCAACATTGATAATTGTGGTTTACTCAATTTGATGTTCATTTCACCACAGAACAAGCCACTGCTTGTTTTTTCCACCACAAGGCAGTTAAAATGCCTGGTTTGCTGGCGAGGTGACATTCTATTCGTGTTCCTGTTGTATTGTTTTATCCTCTGATGAGGGGCTGCAGAAAAACATCCATCACCAGGCCCATCCATACAAATCTGAGCTTACGAACCACTGGGTAAAAAGAGTCTGATCCCCCTCTCTCGCTCACGCACACACAGAAACAGACCACCTGTCAACACCCTCTCACTCTCGCTTACAGAGAAGGGATCTGAGCCCACATCATGCTGCTACACAAGTAGCACACACTCACACACACAATTTGCTTGAAGGAAATGGAGTGGAAAAATGAAAGAATAGTGGGCAGCTGAAAGGCAGAGCTGGTGAATGTTTGCCATAGCGTCTGAGACAGACGACATCAGTGAAAATTGTTGTGCAGTGTTTTGACTGGGGTGCTGATTTACTTAAGTTCAGTCGGGGCTCTGGACGATGTGTTGAATACTAACTGGCCACGGAGGCTCTATCTCTCAGATTTATATCTCTCCCACCGCGGAGTGTTTGTGTCAGGGTTACGGTTGACATAATTACAATCCTGAGAATAAAGGAAGCGGTCCACTAACCTTCAATGATTAATACTGACTATTTGATCTCCACAGTAAACTTTCACATCCCAAATCACAGAAGAAACGTTCATATACTCATTCCAAATAATACACACTAGCAGTGTGTTTCAATCTAAGCAAGACTGTGCTGGATGGTAACTTACTTGTTGTTCTGAATGTCTGCCTCAAAAAGGTGTTTGGAGATAAAATGATACTCCACTCCATCGCTTTCTTGATGTCTTTTCGATCGAGATGTGTCTGTGAAAGATAAGGCAAAGTAATTAAGGCAAAGTATCTGATTTTGTATAGTTTCACACTTAAACATCGAATAGAAAATGCTAAATGACTTTTCAAATATGAAAAGATTTTAAAACACTAGACATGCACTTGCCGATTTCGCAAATGGTTACATAGAAAAAATTCACTACGTGTTCTAAAATCACCTCATAAAATCGACTTGGCAAGACTGTAAATTGGGGCAAAAATCTGGGCAAAAGCTGTAGTGTATTCTAGCTTTTACAAATCACAAGCCCATCCACATAAAATTGTAGCACATCCACATTTCTGGAGGAAAAAAAAAAATCTACTATAGCTTCAGAAAACTTAAATATAATTGCATTAGGGCTGGATATCTTAAATCGATTGTGATTAACCAGCTCATGATTCAGAACAGTAAAAGAGAATTACAAGAACTGTCAATTGTTTTGGGAATTGGGCTACACTGGTAACAGTGCATATTTTGGATTCACTAAACAGAACTGGTTCATAAGAGTCAACTGTTCGTGAATTGAACTACACTGGTCACACTATACAGTATCTTCTACATGAACAATGAGGACAGTACAGGTACAGTACAGGACAGGAGGTGCTTTACAGATACATTTTCACACAGCCACTAAAAATAGGTATTAACATAAAAGCTCAATCATAAGATTTTAACAATCAATACTGGGATTATTCACAGAATGTGATTAAGATGATTGCAATTAATCTGAAAAACGATATTTATACCCAGCCCTAAGTGACATTAGATACTGTTTCCCTAACTGAAATAAAACACCAGCAGGGTTTCTTAGAGCACTGTGTTGGAATAACTTAATGGTTAAAGGTGCTTCAAGAAGAACATGTGAAGAAATGTTCATTACAGACATTTCCTTGATTAAAGGGAGTTTCCCCGTGGGCACTTTATTTCCCACTTAACTTTATTTAAAGTAAACCACCTCTCCAAGGTCTGACGCCACACCCACCGCGTCTGTCTTGGCTCACCTCACCACAAGGCTTCTAAAGGGCAGTGTGAGTGTAACGCTGCTTGTAAAGCCCCAGGAGCACACTGTACAGTACCAGCACTGAGTTTACTCTGTCCCTCATTAGCCCCGTTCCTGCTTTCAGCTGCTTATAAACTCCTGTCTTTAAATCAGTCGGCGTGTGCCAGTCCAGCCAGCATGGCTCCGCCGGGTACAGCCAGGGTCAGAGTTTGCTGTGTGGAGAGACACAGCGGTGTGTTTAACGAGTGTCGGGGAGGTCAAAGGTCACTGTAGAACACACCTCCGACAAATCGTCTGCAAGCCGCCAGCAGCTCCAAAACAAACTATTAAACTTTATCACCATTCTAACTCGCCATGTTCCAGGTTTTTTCTTCCTCTGCTTTTTTCCTTCTGCTTTTTCAAGGCCACTATTGAATGGTCTCTATCGCTCTATTTATCTATTTATCATGGACATGTATGGGTAATTTTCCTGTATTTTTTTAAATATATAAACACATTACAGTTCAGAGTTGATTAAGTTGTTGTTTAAAAGAGTTGAGTTGTTTTTAAAAGAAACTAGTACTTTCATTCAGCAAGAATGAATTAATTTGCTCAAAATCGATGGTAAAGTGTAAAGACATTTATAATATTATGAAGAAAAATGCTGATCTTTGAACTTTCTATTTAAAGAATCCTGAAAAAAAGGTTTTCCACATAAATATCAAGCAGAACAATCATTCTCAACTGTCATAACAATAAACCACGTTTCTTGAGCACCAAATCAGCATATTAGAATAATTTTTGAATGACCATGTGACACTTGCAATATTATTTTTCCAATTTTACTATTTGCTGTATTTTTGATCAAATAAATGCAGCATTGGTAAGCATTAGAGACTCCTTTAAAAAAAAAATACAGACAAAAATTTCAGCAGTAGTGTACAATTGGTCATAAAATGAATGGACAAGCGGCTGTCTAATTTGCTCATTTAGTTTGTAAGTGGACACCTATTCCTATAGATAAAGACAGAGGGAGAGAGACGAGAGAGAAAGTATGGGTTGGGTGGGATGGGAGTAAATTATTAGTTGCCCTCAATCCATCACATCTTTGATGAAGAGGCATCCCCCTCTCATGATGACAGCCCACCACAGACATAAGATAACATGTTATTATACCTCCAACTGCTGGTACTCACAAAACAAAGAAAAAAAGTTACTTGTACTGCTGAAAGAAATAGAATATATTTAATCTGGCATTAGCTCTGTGGCATAGGAAATGTTTTTGGTGTGGCAAAAGAATTTGAATTTCATTCTAAGATCATGGAAAATAGCAGTAAAAGTTGGAGAGGAGACAAAATGTTCAAGTGCTCCCAACTAATCGTATTCTACAATCTCGCTAGCGTGGCTGCCATGACTGGTTTGCATTTTAAAAGACCCAGTTATTGGAAATGTGAAGCAATCGTTCACGTTGGTCTTCTTTAGAGAAATGAAATAGAAATATTCAAATGTTTAATCACTCCATATTAACAATGAGAGTTGGAGCTGGCAGGACTGAAATAAAAGTGGAAAGATTACCAAAAAGCACTTTCAAAACAGTCCCTTTCCAAAAATCCATCCCTTTTATCTAAATTCTTCGTAAGGTCTGAGAGGAGCCGGGCTACATAATACAGACTAATGCAGGGGTCACATTTGTGAGCAATTAGGCAGCATTAACGCAAAACGCTTTGGATGGGATTTCAATACCAGTGGCATTTCAAAGTGTCAGAGCCTAAATCAGACACATCTATTAAAGCCAAACTTGAATGTAACAAACATCCAACCGTCATATCAACAGTCACGGCTTTTCTGGCCACTGTCTCTGAACTTCTTCAAACGTTCAAGCTCCGTCTCTCACTTTCCTGCCTCTAAATATGCAATTTCTCCACAGTGTCGGCCTGTTTAAATACATAAATTGCAGGCTTATTTATATGTCCCAAAAATATCTGCTCTGGTGTATTTCCCTGGATTGTGTGTTTCTGGATGCTGGAGGAAGGGAAGGGGCGCTGCTGCTGGGGACAGAGGAATGTCAAGTAGAGCAGTGACAGACTGATGAGGTGAGAGAGTCATTGTCACAAAGGTAATCTACAGTACTGTAATATGACACACACACACAAAAATCAGTCTCATACTGTCACACAAATGCACACACATAAGGAAGGACTTACGTGGGATGGTGACACTAAAATGTTGTGGATCGGATATCAACAACTTCCTTTTGAGCTCATTCAAACCAACACCAGTAGGACCTAGATAAGCACAACAGAGAGACACACAGAAACAAAGTCCATTAATATCTTGCTTAACTTTTATTTTAGCATGCTGCTATTTTTTTTCTAGTGTATCATTTCTATTTTTGCCAAAAAACACAGACACAAAAAAAAGAGAGACTTTTTAAGAATTAAATGTTTTATTAAAAACACACTACTGTCCAAAAGTTTGGGGTAAGACATTAATACCTTTACAGACATTGTTACAAAAGATTTCTAGGTCAAATAAATGCTGTTCTTTTTAACTTCATATTCATTAAATAATCCTGAAAAAAATGTATCATAGTTTCCACAAAAATATTAATCAATACAAGTGTTTTCAATACTGATAAGAAATTTTTCTTGAGCACCAAATCAGCATATTAGACTGATTTCTGAAGGATCGTTCCACACTGAAAACAGTCATTTTTAATCGCAATTTTCACAATGTTAAATTTTTTTTTTCTTTGATCAGATAGATGCTGCCTTGGTGAGAATAAGCTGATCTGATCCCAAACCCTTGATAGGTAGTGTAGACAAAAAGTGTAAAGTGTATACAAAATGAAGCTGGATTAGAAATTTAATTTACTGTAGTCCATTTTTTTTTTTAAAGTACAGCTAATTAAAAAAATATAAAATATATATTTTAAAAAATATAAAATACTTTATATTTATATTTTACTTTATGCACTATACATTCAAATATAATACATATAATATAATATATAAATAAACAAATATTACTTTTAAAAAATTTTTCCACTGTATTACCCAGTTCAAGCATAGTGAACGCAGTGAAAAATTTGAGTCATCCATTTCTCCTCCTCGCATCTCTTTTTCACTACAAGCCCTGAGTTGTTCTTTCTGTAGTCACAGAGTCTGAGCCACAAATGCAGCAAAAAAACACAGCAACAGAGATTTGATCCCTCCATGCATGTCAAGGCCCTATTAAAGACAGGCCAAGATTCACACTGTATAATGCGGAGAGTCAAGCGTGGTTTTTCTATTAGCCGTTAATGATTGCTATGAGACATGCACAAATCAAAATCTATATGTTAGAGAACACAAAACAGATGTTTTTCCTACTAGCTGGGAGTATATACATTTTCATTTGATGCATCATACACTTTCCAACACACACATGACATCATGAGAAGCCCATGACGGTGCAAAACGTGCTATCCTTATTCCACTGTGATAGAGGAGACGAGCAAGATGCTGATTTACTACGGTGAGGAAACAGAAGATTATTTCTTGTTTTTCAGGGTCACCGAGTAATGTGGAGATACGCAAACACTCCTTCCCCATAAAAGGACCCACAAACTCAAACAGTCTTTATTTTCAGGGGATGTTAATCTCCAGACCCCACTAGGCCCTGTCTGCCTGCCCCATAGAAAGCTTGACAAAGGGAAGACGGATGGTCCGTAGTCCCTTGGACATTCTATTCACTCATCATGTGCACTAAATGAGTTTAAAGCCCTCAGTCACTCATCTCTGCAGCGGCTCGCCCTATCTCTGATGTATAGCCGTTAGTGTGCAAAAAGCCACAAACAGCATTGAAACTTGCAGTCTGAGTTCAAGCACTGAGCAGCAAGCTAGATGCTACAGTCTAAACAGCCTTCAAAATGGGATGGTGGTGCGTCAAATAGGTTAACTGACTTGACTTGTGTATTTTTTTCCTGATTATTCTGTTCATTGTCATACGCTTTATTGACCCAAACAAAAACTAGCCCTTTAATTTTCAATAGCCCCAATAAAATAATACATTTGAGTAATTGTTTTTCAATCCAAGTGTATGCACACACTTACGGGGGCAGGATGCAGCTGTCATAAAAGTGTCAGTAGTCATTAGGGCGCTCATTAGGGGAGAAGGCTAATACGAAAGGCTTAATAACTTCCAGGCCAAGTGCGGAGCAGATGCAGTTAACCTAGAGGAGCTGCTAGGCTGGCTGAACATGGGGGGCCGCCGTCCAACCTTCTCTCAACACTCACTAAAACACTGTCATCATGTCCTCATATTATCAGCATCAACATATTCTACTAACTGTGTCCGACAAATAACCTTTCTTCACAGTTCTATGTGTGATTAGTTCACAATTAAAGCTTTTTTGGCGAGATTTTAAGCTGGGCACTATGCTACTTGTACAGCACCCTGTCAACTGCTAAGATGTGTAAAAATTATACTTGATAGTTCTAGGAAGAAACAACACAATGCAGCCCAAATTGTAATGTTCAATTAGAAAAGTCCAGACAGAGATGTTTGGAAACAGAAACAAAATTCTGATATAAAAGGAAATAAAGAATCTGATCCGTTGTTTGAACCGACAGCTCCTTTAGATCATCATTTTCCTCAATGGTCATTCTTCTGTTCCACCGTTATTCTGTCTGGGTCTATATCAACTGGAATCTCTTCAATCTTAACTCAAACATGTAGAAAAAAAACAGATCATTTGCTATGTTAAATAATCAGGTTTCAGTTAAAACACTGCGGTGGGCTTGCGAAGCTGCGCACATGTTAAATGTGTTGACTTTGGCCGCTCGATTAATATGTATCCAAACAGATAAGATCTTGATTCGTCTGGAAAGTCGTTTGAAACCCAACCGCAAACCGTGGGTCAGTCGTGTTAGAGAAAGCAAAGGGAAATAAGACTATTTTGTTCTGGGGTGATTTTGCTTGACCCCGTTGTCCGCAGACAGGGGTAAACACCTAATGGGAGTAATTAGTAACATGGGAGTAACATAAAAGTTTAATGTGCTTTCAAATGAATCACTTTAATTCACAATAGCAAGAAAGCACAAATCAAAGGGTACAAAGAGAGACGTGTGGGGAAAAAGGCTCCATTCAAATGGCAGCATTATTAAATGCAATAAAACAACCGACAAGGAGCATGACAAAGACGGAAAAGAAAAGAAAAATAATAAAAAGTGCAAGCCAGGAAAAGTTAAAGCATGACCTCAAGGGACAGAATAGCAGTTCAGACTCAGAGAGAAAACACAGCGGACCCTTTTTCTACATCCTTGGGTTTGTCACGACTGATACATCCATGATGCTGCCCTCCACCTTATGAAACAAAACTGAAAATATTTGTGTTAGTTTGACCGTATGAGTTGCAAATTACCAGAGGGGCATCCTGACAGTAGGAAAAGCTTGATTAATTAAACAGACCACCTTATGCACTCGCTCACACAGGCATGTGAATATACACCCCATTAATTACATGCACCAACAAAACTGTGATAGAATCCATATGGCGTGTTGCATTCACAAACACACGGCCTGGTCTAATGCGGTGAACTGTGACCCTGTGCTACCTCTCAAAGATTTGTATGTGAAATATTTTATACACCTGGTCAACATTACTTGTCAGTATATGAGGACATTTTCACAACAACAACCCTTTACACTGGGAAAAACAAATTATGAACTTGATTTAGAGTGGAGGAGGTAGATGAGAAGAGGTTAATGCAGCATTTCAACATTATAGAAAAATAAAACAAAAAAGGAACCTTAAACCCTCAAGCTATCTGTCATACAAATCTAAATGACTTTTTATTCACACTTTTATGAAACACTTAATTCATTGTTCGGGCCTCTATATCCTCTGTCCAGAATTTCTGGCAAACAAACACCAAATCTGACATTCGAAAATCTAATATCATTTCAAGGTTTTTTCACTTTAAAGCTGACGTCTCACTGTGGTTTTGCCCTCGCTATTCCCTTGAAAACAAGTGTTAACAATTCTTTGGTGAATAATATTAAGGAGGAATAAAATGTTCCAATAGAACACCAGCGCTGCGAATGAAGTGTCACAAAGATGAATTAATCCTAAACCGGTCCCGTCAGCTCTAGGGGTCTTTAGAGGGTCGGGTTGAGTGAGAGTCCCACAGCAGAATAGGATTTATAGGTTACAGTAAAGTGCTGTTGTGGATAAAGCACTGCTTGTGCATAGCCTCAAAATAGTGTTGTTTTGAACTAGGCCTATTCCTTCTTTGTATTTTTACATTTCTGAAAACTTAAGTGAAAATCACTTTTTATATACCAAAGCTGTTACACTTACCAACCAACACGACAAGTCTGTGCCTGTCTCCGTGTTTTCTGCGGTAGGCCGTCACCTCTTCATAAGTGGGCACATCAGCTGTGTCGTACTGCTCACTTCTCTTACATTCATACATGGACTTATTTGTTTTCTTATCCCTTCTGCTGAGACGAAAACTCCTCCGTAGACCCGCTGGAGAGGAAGAGAGAAACAAATAAAGACAAAAGAACAACAAGCGTGTGTGCATTTGAGAATGAGGATACAGACATAGAAGTCTTAATGGATCTTAACACACTCCTACACTTACTCATTCTTTCTTAAGACATTCACAAGCCTTTCACCCTGCCTCCTGCACCTGTATTGGTTTGAGGTTGTGGTCAGTGCTTAATATGCTTTTCGGAAGTAGGCCTGATATAAAAAGCTGATTTGGTGCTCAATATTTCTCACTTAAATGTTGAAAACAGTTGTGTTACCTAATCTTTTGTTGTTTGTTTGTTTTTGTTTTTTTGAGAATTTAACACTATTTGCCTCCTGGAATAAATGTTACGCTGCTACTGCCTTCATTCGTTTTATTTAAAAATTTATATAAAAGGTTTATACATGTTTCTAAAAAAAAATTATATGCAATAAAGTTTAAAAGTATGGGGTTGGCAAGATTTTTTTAAAATTGTTTTTGGAGTCTCTTAT